GGCTCACGCCTGTAATCCCAGCATTTTGAGAGGCCGAGGCAGGTGGATCACGAGGTCAGAAGATCAAGACCACGGTGAAACCCTGTCTCCACTAAAAATACAAAAAATTAGCCAGGCATGGTGGCCGGTACCTGTAGTCCCAGCTACTCGGGAGGCTCAGGCAGGAGAATGGTGTGAACCCGGGAGATGGAGCTTGCAGCGAGCTGAGATTGCGCCACTGCACTCCAGCCTGAGAGACAGAGCGAGACTCCATGTTCAAAAAAAAAAAAAAAAAGAAAAAGCAGCCCTTAGATCTGCTGTGGCAAATAAATAGGACATGTCCTAGTATTTTCCTCTAGGCCTAAAACTGTGAGGGACATCACTAGTCAATCATGGCACCCTAGACATGGCCTCAGAACCCTCAACATTGTTCACTATATAGCAGTTACCAACAGATCAGATGAAACCCAGTGAGATCTACTTGCTGCCTAGCCTGAGACCTTCTGTGAGCCACAGAGTTGGGAGGGGTCATCCAACTGCACTCATGCATCTCCTACCAATCTCAGAATCAGGCAAAAAAGGAGTGGCTCATACATTTCCTCCAGGAAGCCTTCCCGGCCAACCTCATCCTCACCTGTCAACCCAGAACCACCTCAGCACTGAGCTCATAAGTTTCATGTGTTCTCACGCAGATTACTCTCAATATTACTGTTTTTTTTTTTTCTTTCTTTCTTTCTTTTTGAGATGGAGAAGTTTCACTCTTGTTGTCCAGGCAGTACAATGGCATGATCTCGGCTCACTGCAACCTCCACCTCCCGGGTTCAAGCGATTCTCCTGCCTCAGCCTCCTGAGTAGCTGGGATTACAAGTATGTGCCACCATGCCTGGCTAATTCTGTATTTTTTTAGTAGAGACAGGGTTTCTCCACATTGGTAAGGTTGGTCTCAAACTCCCAACCTCAGGTGATCTGCCCGCCTCGGCCTCCCAAAGTGCTGGGATTACAGGAGTGAACCACCACGCCCAGCCAATATTACTTTTTTCATGAAAATGTGTTTTACCTCTCCTGTTAAACCACAAACTTCTGAGGGCCAGGTCTCCTCCTCTGGAATTTTCCAATGAAGCCTAAAATAAGCCTATGTAAGCTGTCGGAGCTCAGTTACTGCTGTAACTGCTAATACAAAACCAAGGAATAGGCCAGGTGTGATGGCTCACACCTGTAATCCCAACACTGTGGGGGACCAAGGCCTAGGATCACTTGAGCCTAGAAAAAAAAAAGAAAGCCAGGCATGGTGGCGTGCACCTGTGGTCCCAGCTACTCGGAAGGCTGAGGCAGGAGCTATGCGATCAGATGGAAAAGAAGACAGAGTTACATAAAGAGTGTAAAGTGGGAGGCAGAGGCAGGAGGATCACTTGAGACCAGGAGTCACAGGCTGCAGTGAGCTATGATTGCACCACCATACTCCAGCCTGGGCAACAGAGTGAAACCCTATCTGGAAAAAAAAAAAAAAAAACACACACACACACACACACACACACAAGGAATCTCAGGAGCTAGGAAGGCCCTCAGTAGTTCTGGTCCATCTTTCTTCCCATACTAAAATTTTCCTCTCTGTGCTTTCAGTGACAGACAGCATAGTGGTCAAAGCACCAGCTTTGGAGACAGAAGACCTGGATTCAAATTCCAGCTCCCTCACTTAGCAGCTGTATGGCCTTAGGCAAGGTGCTTCACCTCTCTCAGCCTCAACAACTGCATGTGTATAATTCAAACAATCTTAATAAAAATTAAAAAGCCTGAGAGTAAAATGAAACACTTATAAAGCGCCTAGCACAGTCCCTGTATACAGAAAATGTTACACAAATTTAGCTAGTACTATAGATTCTATTTTCAATTCCATAGATAATTCTTAACTACCAGAAGGTCTAATAGTAAGCCAATAATCAGGTTCTAAAAAATGTTCCCTGATACCTCAAGTCTACCTTCTGTTCATCGGGGGGCACCCCAGGATTCTCTAGCTAAAGTAAGCTAAGTATTCCCAGTTCCCTTCCATTCAATACGTATCACTGTTTCCCAGTCCTTCAATATCGTGGCTACCTGGCTCTGTACTTTGTCAGCATAGCTAGAGTTTTGCACATCTGCACCCTAACAGAGCATATATACTCATAGGCATAATGAGGGTTCCCTGTATATTTATTTCTTCCATCCTGCTCCAACTATTACAAAGAAGGTTGACCACAGAAAAGATTGACTGGAGAAGGCAATGGGGAGAAGGTGGAACATGTTAGAGTTGATTACGCAGTGGTGATGAGCAAAGGCTTTGGAACATTCTTGGCATTGAATCCCAGCTCTGCCTCTTACTAGCTGGGCAGTCTCAGTTTTCTCATCTATTAAATGAGAGTAACAACAATATCCATCACAATGTGTTGTGAGACTTACATGATTCAATATATGTAAAGTGCTTAAAATATACTAAAATCTCAATAAATGTTAGACACATACATTATTATTATTGCTATTCACATATTTAAAGGGCTTATTCTACCTTGCTCCAAAGGACATATCCAGAACCAGGCAATATAAGTTATGGCCATTCAGACATTAAGTAATCACTTTTTTTTTTCTTTTTTTTTTGAGACAGAGTCACCCAGGCTGGGGTGCAATGGCGCGATCTCTGCTCCCTGCAGCCTCTGCCTCCCAGGTTCAAGCGATGCTCCTGCCTCAGCCTCATGAGTAGCTGGGATTACAGGCGCTTGCCACCACGCCTGGCTAATTTTTGTATTTTTAATAAAGATGGGGTTTCACCATGTTGGCCAAGTCTGGAACTCCTGACCTCAGGTGATCCGCCCACCTTGGCCTCCCAAAGTGCTGGGATCACAGGCGTGAGTCACTGCGCCAATTAATCACTTATGGAACATCCACACATGGGCCAGACATTGTGCGATGTGTTAGGGCTACAAACCTGCTTACACATGGCCCTGAAAGTGAGCTCAGCCTACCTGGGAAGCCAAACACGTAAACACATGACTACAAAATGTGTTACATGCATTAAAGGAAGTAACATAATATATAACAGAACACAAAGGTAAGGGCAAATAATCTTAGGAAGATCAGGGAAAGCCTCACAGAGTAGAGGACATTAAGATAGTTCTTGAAGGATAAGCAGACGCTCCCCAGGATAAGCGGAGTAAGGGAATTCACAGCAGAGGAACAACATGTACAAAGGCAAAAAAGAAGAAAAGCACATGGTGGGTGCAAAGAATTAATTATGACAACAAAAGTTTACAGTCACTGAACACTTCCTATGTTCCAGGAACTGTACTAAGTGCTCTATATATATCATCTCACCTCATCCTCTCAGCAAAATAGAGATTATCTTCACTTTTCAAATAAGGAAACTGAGGCTTAGCAAAGTTTAAAAAAAAAAAAGGCCGGGCGCAGTGGCTCATGTCTGTAATCCCAGCACTTTGGTAGGCCAAGGTGGGCGGATAATGAGATCCAGACCAGCCTGGCCAACATGGTGAAACCCCGTCTCTACTAAAATACAAAAAACTAGCCGGGCGAGGTGGCGGGTGCCTGTAGTCCCAGCTACTGGGGAGGCTGAGGCAGGAGAATGGCGTAAACCTGGGAGGCGGAGCTTGCAGTGAGCTGAGATCCGGCCACTGCACTCCAGCCTGGACGACAGAGCCAGACTCCGTCTCAAAAAAAAAAAAAACTTGCCCAAGGTTTCACAGCTAATAAACGGTAGAGCAGCATATGTATCCATGTCTGACTCCAAAGACCGAACTCAACCATTCTGACATGACCAAAGGGCAAGGGATAGTGGGAGGAGTGGCAAGAGAGAGCTCTAGCTAGAATCATAGGCAAGAGCATATTATAAAGGGCCTGGAAGAACTGAGGCTCTATCCTGTAAATGATGAGGGGCCATCACAGGATCTCACAAAGGCGACTGGCATGATCAGATCTGTAGCTCAGACAGACGATTCTGGCCAGGAACGGCGGTGCATGCCTGTAGTCCCATCTACTCAGGAGACTGACGGGGATGGCTTGAGGGCAAGAGTTTGAGGCTGCAGTGTGCTAGGGTCACACCAGTGAATAGCAACTGCACTCCAGCCTGGGCAACACAGCAAGACTCTGTCTCTAAAATAAATAAATGATTCTGACAGCTGCATAAGAACTAATTACAGGAGGACAAGAACTGAGGCAGAGAGACCACTTAGGAAGTTATCCTGAAAGCACAAGCAAGAAATTATGAACTAAGTCAGTGGCTGTGAGGATGGAAAAGAAGGGCCAGATTCTAGGGAAATTAAGAGGCAGAATACAGGACTTGAACTTCGGGAGAGAGGAGGGAAATCAGAGCACTAAAGCCAGAACACTGTGATTTTCCGTTCATTTCTATGCCTCGTCCAATAGGCAGCCCCACTTACTACACTGCCTGGAAGATAGGACATGTCCGACAAATGTTTGCTGTATGTATTAGATGAATAAATTCTAGGGACAGACTTGGCTGAGTGAATGGTGAAGCCCTTCAAGAGACAAGAAATACAAGAGGAGAAACAGATCGGAGGGACCGGGGAAGGCTGACGATGACAATAAGTAGGTCTGAGCTCAGGAAAGAGGTCTGGCTGGAGTAGTCTGGGGAGTCAACGCTGAAAAGCTGATAACGCAAGACATGGAGTGCGGCTAAGTAGAAGGGAGGGCTTTCTACTGCAAAGGACTGAGTTAGGAGGACGGGCAGGGAGTCGCGGAAGCCAAGTGAGGAGAGAGGTGCCAGAGGTAGAGGGAGATTTTTTAAATCAGTGCAAGAAAAGGAAAAAACAAAAAAGCTTTCCAACTTTCCCCGCTGGTTAAAAGATGGCATAAGGTTAGGCTAGCCCCGGATTTGGACCCGGGGGGGAGTCTGCCACAGATGTATCCCAGCGAGCTTCGGAAGGCCTAGCCTCACTCGCCGACGATGAACAGAGCAAGCAAACCAGCGCCCCGTGCCCAATGCCCCTCTCCCGCATCCCGACGCGCTGCTCACTCACCCGCCAGACCCCCAGCCCGGGCCCGGTGGCCCGCTCAGGAGCCGGCGAGATTTCAAACGGAGGAACCGTCGCCTGGCAGTCAGTTTTTCTCTTCTTCCCTCAGTCCCCGCCCACACTCGAGCGCATCAAGCTGGTTGGCTTGAGAGCGTGCCTCTGCACCCCCGCCACGCTCCCTTCCCCGCCGCCCAACCCCTCCCTCGATGAGGTCCTCAACTATCCCCCACCCCGGAAGGCTCCGGGCGAGGCTCTGGGCGAGGCGCAGCTCCCCCAACGCCACCCGACACCCACCCGCTCCCCCCGCTTCCAGGGACGCCGGGATGTTGCCCTGCAGCGCGCAACAAACACTTCCGGAAGAAGTACCGCCTAGCAACCGAGAGTCCCGCCTCCAGCCGGAGCCAATAGGTCGCCGGCTGAGAGCTCTGACAATGGATTGGCTCGAAGTCCCTTGGGGCACGCAGGAGCTCTGTCCGTTTTCCGTTGCACGATGGGAGTGTAGTTTTAGATAGATAATGGGAATCCGCAAAAGGTTAAAAGAGAACCTCATTGGTTGGGCGCGGTGGCTCACGCCTGTAATCCCAGCAATTTGGGAGGCCGAGGCGGGTGGATCACCTGAGGTCACGAGTTCGAGACCAGCCTGACCATAATGGGGAAACCCCGTCTCTACTTAAAAAAAAAAAAAGAAAAGAAAAAAAAAAGGAGCCCGAGTTTAGACGTGAGGATTTCTGCCAGGGCAGAGAAGGATTATACAGAGTATAGTAACGTGAATTATCTAAGACAATTTATTGATCATTTGTTAGGAGTATGATTAACATCAGGTGAATAATACAGTGGCCATCAATAATCAACCCATTGTTCCTTTAATCAACAAAACAAAATGTGAATGTGAGGTAATGGAGACGCCCCCACTCCCCATCTCTCCTGGCAAAAAAAAAAAAAAAAAAATGGCTCTCCTATGCTCCTATTAAACCAGTGAGCACCTGACCAGGACTTAAACCTATTTTCTACTATCCACCTTTTCATCAAAGCCCAGGGTTCAGTTTTTATGTCTGCAAGATGGGTATAGTAATGTCTGTTATAACTATTTCAAAGAGTCTGTTGAAGAAGGAAAAAAGTGACACAATGTATAGCTCCTCCACACACCCTGTCTGGCAGAAAGGTTGCTACTAATATAATTCCGAAGAGTTTTAGTTTTGCTTGCACAGAGGGCAAATCTTCCTTTCTCTCATATGTCTCCAACCTCCTAGAGAAGTTAAGAGGGGCAAAGACAGTTCTGCCCATTACATCAATAGGAAAACGGAAAAACAGACAAATAGAGATGCTGCTAGTTGAAGAGGAAGATGATGAGGCCAAACTCACAGAGCTGCTCCTGACAGGTTCTAGAGATGTAGCCGACTCAGGATAGTCCCAGTGCCACTCAGGGGCTGATTCCAGGATGAGAAACTCAGATTGTTGGAATATACAGAGCATATTCCTTGTGAAAATTATCAAAATCAAAATAGAGTCATTTGTGTTAAAACCCTGACACATGGAGCCAGGGAAGACCATGAAGAGAGGGTTCTCATGCATGAATACCTGATAGCAAAAACTATCGACCAGGCCTGGTGGCTCATATCTGTAATCCTAGCACTTTGCCAGGCACGGTGGCTCACGCCTGTAATCCCAGCACATTGGGAGGCCAAGGCGGGTGGATCACTGAAGGTCAGGAACTCGAGACCAGCCTGGCCAATATGATGAAACCCTGTCTCTACTAAAAATACAAAAATTAGCTGGGCATCGTGGCACGCGCCTGTAGTCCCAGGTGCTCAGGAGGCTGAGGCAGGAGAATCGCTTAAATCCAGGAGGTGAAGGTTGCAATGAGCCCATATCAAGCCACTGCACTCCAGTCCAGCCTGGGCAACAGAGAAAGACTCCATCTAAAAAAAAAAAAAAAAAAGCTAATTGAGCCAGGCACAGTGGCTCACGCCTGTAATCCCAGAACTTTGAGAGGCCAAGGCAAGTGGATCACCTGAGGTCAGGAGTTCAAGACCAACCTGACCAACATGGGAAAGCCCCGCTTCTACTAAAAAATACAAAATTAGCCAGGCGTGGTGGTACATGCCTGTAATCCCAGTTACTCGGGTGGCTGAGAGAGGAGAATTGCTTGAACCCAGGAGGTGGAGTTTGTGGTAAGCCAAGGTCATGACGTTGCACTCCAGGCTGGGCAACAAGAGTGACATTCCATCTCAAAAACAAAAAAATTCCTACTTGCCCAGCCTCTATGGCATGTATATACCTATTGCAATGCTACTTCTAAATAAATACAATTTTCTTTTGGAGTTTCCCTCTCTGCTATTTAGATTGACGTCGTCATGTTTAAATTTAAATCTTTCTGCAGCAGTTATGCCTATACTTCCTTTATTCTTACTATAAATGACAAATCATTAACCCCCTTTCTCTCCATCTTCTTTAAAAGTCTTGGCCAGTCACAGTGGCTCACACCTGTAATCCCAGCATTTTGGGAGGCCGAGGTGGGCAGATCGCCTGAGGTCAGGAGTTTGAGACCAGCCTGGCCAACATGGTGAAACCCCATCTCTACTAAAAATACAAAAGTTAGCTGGTTGTGGTGGCAGGCACCTATAATCCCGGCTACTCAGGAGGCTGAGGCAGGAGAATCGCTTGAACCCAGGAGGTGGAAGTTGCAGTGAGCCAAGATCTCACCACTGCACTCCACCCTAGGTGACAAGAGCGAAGCTCTGTCTCAAAAAAAGAAAAACATAGGCCAGACCACAGTGGCTCACACCTGTAATCCCAGCACTTTGGGAAGGTGAGGCAGGTGGATCACCTGAGGTGAGGAGCTCGAGACCAGCCTGGCCAACATGGCGAAACCCTGTCTCTACTAAAAACACAAAAATTCACTGAGCATGGTGGCACACACCTGTAGTCCCAGCTACTTGGGAGGCTGAGGCAGGAGAATCGCTTGCACCCGAGATGCAGGGGTTGCAGTGAGCCAAGATCACGCCACTGTACTCCAGCCTGGGCAACAGAGGGAGACTCTGTCTCATAAATAAATAAATAAATAAATAAATAAATAAATGTCTCACTGAGGGGCCAAAGGGACCAGACTGGGAAGGAACTCTAAGGCTCACCAGCTCATCTCCCACAAACCTGTACAAAACAGAGATTCAAAAAACCATTTGTAGACTTGGTCCCTATATCTAAGAATTTGCAATCTTTGCAATCAGTCTGGTTTTTTGTTGTTTGTTCGTTTGTTTTTTGAGGCACAGTCTTACTCTGTCACCACCATGCCAGGCTAATTTTTGTATTTTTAGTAGAGATGGGGTTTCACCATGTCGGTCAGGCTGATCTTGAACTCCTGACCTCAGGCAATCCACCCGCCTCGGCCTTCCAAAGTGCTGGGATTACAGGCATGAGCCACCACGCCCAGCTCTGTAGATTTTAATTGCCATCCAAATGCTTAATTCTTGTGCCTTAGCATGGGTTCCTTGCTGTCTCATGGGAAGAGCTAATAAAATAAGAGATGCTATTCACACAGATCAACAATTTGCATTTTATCAGGTTTCCCCATAGGTTTGTACTCGGAAATGCAAGCCAATTTATAAAATGTCCCCAAGGCAAATATAATTTAAAAAGTAAGACTTTGGGGGGAAAATAACAAAAATGACACACTTTTTTTTTTTTTTTTTTTGAGAGGGAGTTTGTTGCCCAGGCTGAAGTGCAGTGGTGCAATCTCAGCTCACTGCAATCTCTGCCTCCTGGGTTCAAGCGATTCGCCTGCCTCAGCCTCCCAAGTAGCTGGGACTACAAGCATGCGCCACCACACCTGGCTAAGTTTTGCAGTTTTAGTAGAAACGGGGTTTCATCATGTTGACCAGGCTGGTCTGGAACTCCTGACCTCAGGTGATCTGCCTGCCTAGGCCTCCCAAAGTGCTGGGATTACAAACATGAGCCACTGTGCCCAGCCTGACACACTAAATGATATACCAGTAATATACTCAAAGAGTGAAGAAGAGAGATAGGACTTCGCTCATAGGTTATCTTCTACAGTAAGGATGAACATTAAGAAGTCATATTTCAAAGATGGGAAAGAACTGATGACAAATTTTTTCCCTACTCCTAGGTCAGAAACCACTATTAGAACTTTTTCTTACAACTCAACAGCCAAAAAAAGAGAAAAAAAAACAAATAAACAGATTTTAAAATGGGCAAACTGCCTTAAAAGACATTTCTCAAAAGAAGATATACAAATGGCCAACAGGTACATGAAAAAAATGTTCAACATTACTAACCTTGAGGGAAATGCAAACCAAAACCACAATGAGATACCACTTCATTCCAGTTAAAATGACTACAATAAAGCAAACAAAGGAAAACAAGGGCTGGTAAGGATATGGAGAAGAGGGAATACTTAAAATGTTGGTGGGACTGTAAATTAGTACCATCACCATGGAAACTGTATGGTGGTTCCTCAAAAAATTAAAAATAGAACTACCACACAATCCAGCAATCCCACTACTCAGTATATATCCAAAGGAAATGAAATTGGTGTGTTAAAAATATTTCAGAACCCCCATGTTAATTGCAGCATTATTTACACTACCCAAGACAGGCAATGAATCCAGCTGTCCAACAACAGATGAATGCATAAAGAAAATGTGGTATATATACACAATGATATACCACTCAACCATAAAAAAAAATCATGAAATCCTACCATTTGCAACAACATGAATGAACCTGGAGGACATGGTGTTAAGTGAAATAAGCTAGGCACAGAAAGACAAATACCACATGATCTCAGTCATGTGGAATTAAAAAAAAAAAATTGATCTCATAGAGAGTAGAACAGTGGTTACCAGACTGAGGAAAAGAGAGGAGAGGATGGGGAAAGGTTGGTCAATGAGTATAAAGTTACTATTAGTAGGAATAGGCCGGGTGCGGTGGCTCATGCCTGTAATCCCAGCACTTTGGGAGGTGGAGGCGAGTGGATCACTTGAGGTCAGGAGTTCAAGACCAGCCTGGTCAACATGGAGAAAGCCCCGTCTCTACTAAAAATACAAAATTAGGCCAGTGCGGTGGCTCACACCTGTAATCCCAGCACTTTGGGAGGCTGAGGTGGGCAGATTGCCTGAGCTCAGGAGATCGAGACCAGCCTGGGCAACACAGTACAACGCCAAAAATATTACAAAATATTGGAATAAAATACAAATAATTAGCTGGGCATAGTGGTGTGTGTCTGTAGTCCCAGCTACTTGGGAGGCTTAAGCAGCGGAATTGCTTGAACCTGGGAGGTGCAGGTTGCAGTGAGCCGAGATCA